GTGTTACTTTAGACATGCTCTAAGAACAAAACAAAAAATTACTGCAAAAATACATGTCACCAATGTGGAACACACTCAGATTTGTATAAAAGTACTGAACTAATATCCCAAAAAGAGGTATATGTAAACAGTACATAAGGAAGAAATAGTTTTAATATGAAACAATCATTTAAGTCACATACATCATGATAAGAAGCAGGACTTTCTTTTATAAAAGATAATATTTTAACTAACAAGCAACATCATCTACACATCTACAGAACAAGAAACATACATGTATTTAGAATAAGATTCAATATAGTTACAAGTAATGCATTATTGATAAAATACGACAAAGATGAAGCTTATCACTTTAATGAAACCACTGGGCTTCATTAAAAGTTCTAAACGAAATGCAGGCACCTCTGATGTGTTAGTGCCTAGCATATACATGACCCCTGTCTTCCCTTCATTTCTCCCCCGACCACTTGTCTTGGGAGATGTTAATGCTATCCCTAGCCTCCTTGCTTCCAAGGGTATCTCCAAATTCCCATCACTGGGCCACCATGAGTTGGAAAATGCAGATATGACTTTTATTCTGTTCTAGTGGATAAATGTAAGAGAGAGAGGGAAGTTGCTAAAATTTGGAAATGAGAAGAAAACCTCTGAGTTTACAATTAGAGGACAAGAAGCTATGAAAAGTCACAACCTAAAGGAAATTGGAAGTACTCTCAAGATAGTACCAGCTAATTCACTGACCATGCTGCTACCCATGGTGCCTGAAATGTGGTCATATCAATCTGAAATGTTAGATATTAAAGAGTCTTTCCAAACTAATAAACATCCTCTTAAAATAAGAAGTTTATTGCCACTTCCTCTACTATCTTCATTCATTCCTTAGTGGAGAATGCTTTTCTCCTAAAGTCCAGCCACCCACTGCCAAACAAAGGAACAATTTCTGATCAGAGAAAAGATACGACATGACAAAGCAGAGTCTCGAGGAGCCTGTATGTAGTATTCCATCAGAGTTTAGGATGCTAACCAGGTGACTGTAAAACAACCCACACCAAAGAACTTAACCTTCCTAATCACATCAGGAAAACGGAAAGACCTCTGCTTCTTTCTCCCTCTTACATTGATTGGTTTCCTAAAGAAAACTAAGAACACAGTATGATACTAATAGTTACCTACATTATGGTTTAAATGAGCCTTTAGGGGCTTCCCTACTATACAGAGTTCCAGGCCACTATTTACAAATGAACTTTGGAAGTCTGGATACTTTACAACATTTTAAGTTGAAGACATTTTAAAATAGCGCAAAATGTTCATGCATATGAAACCTGTATACACTGCAAACTTTTTTAAAAGAATCCAAAACTCTTGAGAACTTCCTTTAAAAAAAAAATTGCTTATATATTTTCTCACTATTAAATACAATTACTATAGTATGTTAGACAATAAGTACTAACACTCTAATTTGTTCAAGACAGGATTGAAAGAATATTAAATGAAGACTCTTGATATTTATTTTATTTAGATGCTTAAAGTTGACAGATTTCATGGTGACCCATAACTATTAAGAGATTTTTTTTTTTCTGCCAGTAGGCAGAGTTAGGAGTCGTAAAAAAACAAACAAAAAAAACCCCAAACTAGATTTCCTTATATTGTGTTTATCTGTGAAGAATAACCACTAGTACAAGAAAGTCTTCAGTTTTATGTATATAATTTGCACAAGAGTACAAATTATATGAGAAACTCAAAGATTTCCTGCTCAGTTGTGTGTGCATGTCTTTATGTACATAATTTGTATAACAAGAACCATAGTAGCAGTACTCTCACACAAAAGAAAAACACTGATCACAAATCTAATTCTAAGCACTCTATCTGAAGAACAATTTATTTTCTTTTACAAGCTAAGCTGTTTCAGTATTAGTGAGTCTAGTAATCCCTAGAAGCATGTGGACCAGAAATTTTCTAGTGAACGACCAAATCAAGTCCCAAGAAAGGAACTGATGCTTTAAAACTTTCTATCAGTAACCTGTCGGTTGTGAGTGAGCCTAGGTACAGTTAGTTAGCCAGTCTGAACTTCAGCAAAACTCAAGAATGTATGAGAAACTCAAAGATTTCCTGCTCAGTTGAGTGTGTGCGTCTTTTTGAATGTGTCCATGAAAGTTGAAGACGTTCAGTGAAAAAAAAAGATTATACCAAAAAAGGCACAATTCTACCTGTATTTCTTTCCATCACTATTTTTAAAGTTGAGGGCAGCTTATCCCTTGTCCTAAGAAAGTCCTATCGATTTGTATATTAGGGGGGTCAAATTGGACAAATTATTATCTGGCCATACTTATAATTAATCAATTTCCTATCCAAAAGCATCTATATAACTTTTGACTTGTTATGTAGAGAGAAATATGGAACTAGTAAGGAAACTGATTCAAATACATGAAAGTATTAATCACCTGTGATTATAGTTTGGCTATGATTCACTGTCAGAATCAACCATGGGTTTTCCTTTTGAATATTTACAGATTCTTATTTAAGTAAGGTTCTTTAAAGACCTAAACACTGGAATAAAAATTCACCTGTCTGTAAGTATTTAAAAACAGCTACTTGGAAACAGAAAATTAAAGAATCACATTAGAAATCAAGTATCTTTAGCCAGGCTCGGTGGCTCAGCCTGTAATCCCGTGCCTTTGGGAGGCTGAGGTAAGTGGATTGTCTGAGTCCACGAGTTCGAGACCCACCTAGGCAACTTGGTGAGACCTCATCTCTACAATAAATCAAAATGAGCCGGGCATGGTAGCGCGCGCCTGTAGTTCCAGCTACTTGGAAGGCTGAGGCGGAAGGATCGCCGGAGGCCAGCAGGTCGAGGCTGCGGTGGCCGGGGGCGGCCACTGCACTCCAGTCTGGGTGACAGAGTGAGACTCCAACTCAAAAAAAAAAAAAGAAATCAAGTATCTTTAGACTAGCTTAAGAGTGGTGATTTCATTCTCACAAAAACAGCTTGAAACTGCAAGTGATAGAGGTTTTAAGAAACTATAAAATCAATTTTAGCACAACTCGAGTACTACCATGTAAAATGTTAACTCCTGAGAACACTGGAAGGTTCCACTCAGTATCTATCTAGCTTTACCCAAGAATCATAAGAAATCATGATCTGCTAGGACTGGGTATATAGGATGCAATGCATCATTTATTAAAAATCAGTATTCACTAGAACTTCCAGAATAACATAACTAGGTCCTTAAACATTTAGAAAATTATGTCTAGCAAAAATTACAATGTAAGTTAAACAAGACCTTCAAGTATGCTACTGAACCCAATCAAATGTCTGAGTCAGCCAAAAATACTGCTTTTTAACCTGCTTCAACTGGTAAAGTTTTCACACAAAGGAGTATCTAGTAGTATAGTTTACATTTCATTTCCTAAAATCGTAAAGATATATATTTTACAACTATTGAAAATATTTTGTACTCACATCTAACTAGTCAAGGGTAAATGAAGAAAACCTTATATTACCTTGTACCATATGAAACTGCTCTTTTTGTGGGTCAAAATTAAAGCACTGTATTTTTAAAAATACCTTCTATTCAATAAAAACATGCATCAGGGCATTAATTACTTTTTTCCAACAGGTTGAACGTTTTTCATATAATTCATCATTTGTTGGGCTTTGTAAATAGTTCAAACCCTCCAGTTACTGCATCTCAATTAGGGAATGTGTTGTTTCTTAGAGAAAGCTCCAAATGATAGAGAATATGGTAGATCATTGGATAAAAGTTTAGTGGCTACAATGGATGTAACAGAATTTCATAACCCAAGTCAATTAACTTTCCTTTAGTGGCTTGTGACATGTGAAGTTGAGTTCTGCCAGGTAAAAGTGTAGGTTCAGGTTTTTTAGCCAAAGACGTTTTTAAATTAAATTTTCTATGCATAATTTAAATTTCCTTACAGTATGCTGCTGCTGTCACTGTTTCACTTGGGTTTAAATAGTAGTAATTAATTATCCCTTTTGTAGATCGATCACCATAGTCTTCAGAACTTTTTTGGTCACATTGATAATGGTGGCAAACATTAATGACTTCACCAACATTCAATCATTGTATAAGCTGCTATAAATTGTCATACACTGTCTTTTTGTCACCAGTTATGATTTTCTCCAAAAATGGGTTTCTGTTTTGAATCTCAATGAGCACACCTCTAATTGTCTCCATTTTTTATTATCTCTCAAGAGAGTACCCTCAGGTCCACTTCCTTAGTCACATCAGAAATTTCAGAAGTGCGTTGCAAGGCCTCAAAATGTTGTCTGCACGTTAGCGTTCACCTTGGCTCTTAATTGATCTTTGTTTAAAATGGATTTGATTTTCCCTGAGGTTCATTTTTCAAATTCAGATATCCAGAACATTATTTTCAAGCCACCAAATGAGTAGTTATTTCATGAGCAGAGCCCTCTAAGGCCAAATTGATGTTTCCTCCTTCATTTGCAGTATGTCCCAGTTTAAAATCATACTTTAAAAGTATTCACAATTCTTCTGAGGAGACTATAGTATTTATTTCTTTGGAGAACAGTAAATAATAACAAAACAACTCAATACCAAAGAAAATTAAGAGTATAATACTATCATAATTCTAAAAGTTCAACTTTACTAATTTTTGTGACAACTTTACTAATTGCAGTCAATTTCCAACTAATATAACATTAGCAATTTCATGTGGTACAATCCACAAGTTATCAACAAATACTTACTGAGAATTTACTATATGCTAAGATCTATCTCATAGACTCACCTGAAAAATATGAAATTCACTAATTCCAAAGACTGTAGTAGAGGAGGAATCTGGCGCTATCTTATTATTTTTTAAATCCATTAAAATGTAAGTTTTCCCCCATGTTATAGTTACATATATTACATTGTGAAAACATGTTAAATGGTTGCTTGATAAACTTTTCGAACTAAATGTTTAATGTGATACAAAGTTCAGCACTGAAATATAATTTTTCAATGATTCTAACTTTTAAAAGTTAAAACTTGCCTACATTTGTTATATATTATTTTGAAGCTTTAAGAGGCTTTTATGTTTATGATAAATAACAAAAACTAACATTTATTTATAAATGTTTCTAAAGCACCCCCATATACATTATTCTATTTAAAATAGCAAACAAAGACAGTACAAATTTGCTCTAGTAATGAAGTGGATTATTACTAAAAACTAAAGGCCAAGTAATGTTTTTGTGTGTACATTTAAAAAAATAATGTAAAACATCAATATCCTGTGTCAGCAAACCTCTGTAATACACAGGAAAAAAAAACACCTCATTTTAGTTAATGCCTGTAATTAAGCATCACTGCCCACTGCAGGTGGACCAAAAGTTTCTCTAGTGCGCATTAACTGGACATCTTTGTCAGCCATACAGGTATCACAGCCCCATACTGCTGATGCTTCTGCAGTTAGGAGGCCATAAGCTGTTTCAGTCATTCCAGTACAGATCCGATGAAACCATTTCTGACAAGAGGCCTCACACAAGATGGCATCCTGATCGTCATTGACTTCATTTGTACAAATTCCACAAGGATACACTGGGTCAGAAGATGAATGGCCATGACGGCTTGGGTGGAGAGAGGACTTATTGCTTTTTTCAGTGGTGCATGCATCTGCTGCACCTCTTGGTTGTCGTGGCTTATTCTGGGTCCCGTTGGCATGGCTGTTGTTTGTGGCTTCAGTACTACTTGAACGGTTGTTCTCTTGATTTACTGCATTGTTTCGGTTAACATTTTTTAATTCAATATTACTCTGATTCACTGTGTCATCCATATTTAAGTGAGGTGGATGAGCAGAGGAATTTTGATTAGTGTTTTTGGTTGCTCCTTGACTAAAGTCTTGTTTTGGGGGTGGTGCTTTTGCTTGACCAAAAGTGTTTGGGGGAGGAATAAAAGAATGATTAGATTCTAATGGAGAAGTAAAATTTGAATTATTTCCAGGAACAAAATTAGATGCCAAATCAGGGTTAGAAACTTGGTTAGCATTCTGTGGAGGAATCTGACTGAAGTTTTCAGCAGGATTTTGTCTAAAATGTTGATTAGGCATGTTAACATTTTGACTTAGTGCATTATTATAAGATGGATTTCCAAAACTTGAATTATCATGTGGCCCAAAGTTAAAAGCATGAGGTCGATTAAAACCCATGCCCAAGGGATTCTGAGGAAATGGATGTGGCTGGTTCCTGAGTGAGTAAGGACCACAGTATGGGGAAGACATTCTGGGGGGAACGTGAGGTGGCATTCTGAATGTGCTATAGCCTCCAAAGCCAGGATAACCAGGACCAAGATAAGGATTTGATGAAGGTAGTGGTTTATAGGAAATAGTATTATAGTTGTCATCAAATGGATTAGCAGCCACTAGATGGTCAGAGTTTGGATTCGGTGGTGGAGCATACTCAGACAATGGAGGAAAAGAAGGTCCCTGAAATGAGAATGGAAAGTAAAATACATATTTTTGATCAAAGAAGTCATTAAACTTGTCCTATTACCTTGAAACCTATAAACCTAGTTTTAGTAAAATTTATCTTGCAGTCTTACAAAAATGCAATTTGTTCACTTGACCTTTCAATTAAAGTTAATTATGTTTATAATCAATCATACTTAATGATAAAATATGTAGGTTTATTTCATCTAGGAAATAAAATAAGGTATGAGTTCAAATTCATTGTTACATAAGATCTCAAACACCTTAAATTACATTTAAGAACAAGCATTTTAGTTTATCTGCCCACACTTTCTTCTTGCAGTATATATTCTAGGCCCGAAGTCCAACAATAGCCACTAGTTGCAGACTAAAATAAATAAGCAAAAACCACTACAATCACTGCAGAATTCACTATTTGGTTTTGAATGAGGATAGGAAAACTCATAACCAGATTTAAATTTACCTCATCAGCCTGTTCATGCCAGTAAAAAAAAAAAAACTGTTACTAAGGAAAAATACCAACTTACCTGTGTATTTGCCTTGCGTTTTTTCTTATCTGGGCTTCCTAATTGTACACCTGGTCCTCCTAACCCATCCAGTCCACTATCACCACCTAAAAAAAAAAAATCAGATAATATTTCCACTTGTAAGCAAAGTTATTTTTTATCTGTCGAAGCAATCTCTATTATATTTACCTGTTAATATATTTTCTATTTTTGTTAGATAAAAGGAATATTAAGCTTTTATTATCTTTATTTAAAACAAAAATCTTTCCCATAGTTTTAGCCAGAAGCAGTAATTCATCTCTGCTCCCATATTTATTATTCTTTCAGTGAAAAAGAAAATCTCCTTACCACTCTCAAACCTTCAGTCATCCGATTCTCTGTCTCTGAGGCCACTCACTATTTCTAGCTTCTGGTCTACCTTTCCAAAGATGATCCAGATATATTCAAGGATAATATCATTGTTGTGGGGGCAGTCACAAATGATAGGCATACATTGGTCTGTACCTTGCTTTCTAATTAAAGATCATTCCATATCACTACATTTAGAACTGCTTTATTCTTTAACTGAGTAGTACTCCACAGTATGACTATACCATAATTTATTAAACTAGTCCCCTCTGTATTGATATTTAGGGTGTTTCCAAACCTTTGTTGCTTGCTGCAAAGAAAATCCATGTAAAAATATCTTTGTGGGCCGGGCTTGGTGGCTCAGCCTGTAACCCTAGCACTTTGGAAGGCTGAGGCAAGTGGATTGCCTGAGCCCGTGGGTTTGAGACCAGCCTGGGTAACTTGGCAAGACCTCGTCTTCACAATAAATAAATAAATTAATTAATTAATTAACAGGGTGTGGTAGCAAACCTGTACTTCCGGCTATTTGGAAGGCTGAGGTGGAAGGATTGCCGGAGCCCTGTGGGTCGATGCTGGGGTGGTCGTGAGTGTGCCACTGTACTCCAGCCTGGGCGACAGAATGAGACTCCAACTCAAAAAAAAACCCAACAAAACTTTGCATACATGTATAAGTTATTCCTAGAACTGAAATTATGGCATCAAAGGTATGTACCTTTTTTTTTTTTTTTTTTTTTTGGGT